ATTTGTCAAGTAACGATTCCACAGAGATGCAGTTCAACATCGATGTGGGGCATGAGTGTGGTGATTTCGAAGTATTATAAGGGACGGGTCCAATAATGATCCACCCGAAGACGGAACCAAACGCGACTGGCCAAGCCTCCCCGACGGATACACGTTTGCCATCCAAGACCTGGGCAAATATGTCTGCACCTAACAACAGGTCAATGTCACCAGGAATTGTAAATGAAGGGTCAGCTAACGCTAAATGTCGGTACTTTTCAGACACAGCGCGAGACAACGGTTGTCGTGGCATATTTGCTGTGATCGTCGAGAACACCCACGCTTTTACAGGGAACACCGGTTCCTCAGAATACCGAGGCTGTACATTACATTCCACAATACCAAGAGTATTAGGAACTGACGCACCGGACAACCCTGTTACCGGCGCCGTCCAACGTGATACACGCAACCCAAGACGAGTCGTGCATGATGACGTAATAGCACTCATTTGAGACGCAGAGTCAATTAAAGCACGAACAGTATGTAGGGTACCTCCATGGTCACGAACCTGAACGAGTGCTGTACCCAGCAATACAGAATGAGAATCGAGCTGTCCAACACAAGAAGTCGGCGCGGACGCTATCTGATCAGCAACAGGAACGGTGTCTTCCTTCCTGGTGGTTGCGGCGACTTCCTCTGTATGGATCAATGTGTGGTGTTTGCGTGAGCACTGAGAACATACTATTGATGATTTGCACTTAGGAGTCCAATGACCCTCCGCCAAGCATCGAAAGCATAACTTGTGCTCTCGGGCCCATTTCGACCGGGCATCCTTGGAAAACCTTTTAAATTTGTTACACAACGGTAACGCATGTTGGCCCTTACCGCAACACGTGCATTGGGGCTTTGATGACGGCGGTGGTGCTGCATTGACAAAAGATGACTGCGGAGTTTTTTCCGATTTTCGGAGAGTCCCCTTTTCTTGGCGCGGATGGCCCGAAGAACGCGATGACGATTGGACCGGTTTTGGAACTTGAAGGTCCTGGACTCGTTCAAGGATAGACACACGCGACTTGACGAATGCGAAAAGTTCATGAACAGTAGGGAAATCAGACGTCACCTGAGCTTCGAACAACGTCCTGCATGAAGTTGGTAGGCAGCGCGAAGCTAACGAAAACAATATGAAGTCACCAAGGTTTGGTATGGCCAATGATTCAAGCACGGATACGCTCTCACAAAAGGCGAGCATAAAACGGTTAAGTTCTGACAGGGATTCGGAAGTAGATGGTGGTGTGGTCAACAACAATTCAACCACTGATCCAGCAAGCAAACGGGGTTTATCGAAACGAGATTCCAGACTAGACCAAATTAATTTATAAGTATGGCCTGACGGCGGTATACTCCGAATTGCGTCTGCTGCAACTCCTTTCAAGCAACTTAACAGATGATGCAACTTGTCGATGTTGGGGAGTGTCGTACTATCGACCATATCCAAGAACGTGTCACGAAAAGAAGGCCACTGAAAAATGTCACCGTCAAAACTCGGTAGTGGAATTTCAGGCAAGCGTGTACGCGCTACCGGACCTGACTTGTTTTCAATTGGCGGAACGTCCAAAACACTGGCCTGATGTTTTTCTGAGCTTGTACCAACTGGGTCTAATGACGCATGGGACCCACTGCGCACAGATGTGTTACTAGAACATTGCTCAGACTCACGATATCGCTTCGCAACAGATCGGCAATACGTGACTATCTCACGCATCTCGGTACCTAAATCTACCTTGTACTCAGATGAGCGATCGAGAGCGAATAAGTGTTCAAGGACTGCCTCATCCTCCACTTCAAACTTTGACCACAGGCTGTCCAAGTCCTCAACTGCCTCTAATAAATGCGGTGACACTTCAGGATCCTTCATACTCCGCTCTGCAAGAGTCATGATTGAGCGCAAACGGTTCATAGTCACATTACGTTTCATAACATCTCGCTCCATCAAGCGTTGTATGCGGTTAATCTCGGTGTCATTCATCGTGAACAATAGTCAAGTTACAGCAATGTGCGGATAATAACGGATGGACGACAATAATACAAGTAAAATAGTAACAATTAATTGAAGCCAATGCTTATCAAGATATTAGAAAATGTAAAAAGCGCTACCGAAAATAATTTGTACAGTTACTAACAACTATACGGTCCTGTAATAACTTATAATAACGAACAATCTACGAGGACAAATAAAAGCTTGAACTATATAAATTAAATTAAATAATTAAATAAATTAATATTAAGCAAAAATAATCAATATGCAATTATGGCCAACACGGTGGCACAAAATAATAAAACACATAAATAATAATGAACAACAGTTTGTAATAATCAAGTGCGGTAATGCGACTTATATTGATTACCTAACTGTAAAACACCGATAGGATTATAGGAACTGTAATAGGAATAGTACCTACACAATTGAATATCGGATGAAAAGGAGTTCCCGTTACCCACTAATTGTACTACAATGATACCCACAACCTAAGTACTGTTTAACGGCTACTTTGCCAAAAGACCTAGTAACCACGCTCTGCTACCAAAATGTACGCCGATGGAGCTCTTAATGGACAGTTAGCCCCAAAGACTCGTACTTACAAGTAGGATACTAGAATTATAATACTATAAATAAAAGGAACTCAAAATTTGATGGTATAATAATGTGTATTGAATTATTCACGAAAATTGTTGGGGTGGACGTCTCCACAGTATAAATAACAATTATAAACGCCGTCAAACACAGGTTTTGCGTACGTATACAAATAATAAATTTAAATTACAATAAATTAAATAAGGCCGTAAGTAGGTCACGGGGACACGTATATCCTACAATAATAAATACAAATAATAACGATACGACCGTGATATGTGTGAAGATAATGAGCAATATTGATAGTGATTTCACCGTCCGGTCGACCAGTAGTACCGCGATTTTGGAGGTTGATAAGTCCAACGACACTTGTTCGATGACGACAATGTTGTACCAATCGGTTTCGAACACGTGCAACCACGTGTAAATCCAAGTAACGGACGCCCGACGCACTATATTGCACAGTGCACCGTGCCAACCTCAGTCCAAACGACTGCGGAATTGGATCCACGTATCCACCGAATAACTCGCACACAGTAGGTATTACGATTGCAACACGAAGCACAAACTCGAGACGCCGCGGTAACGCCAGAACGCACGCGAAGTTCAACAATTAGTTACGCGGCAGTGCGGCTACGAACATGCCAGACGTACGGCAAGAGAGACAACAACGAACAGGCGCCGGCGCCGGACACACGGCGGGCGGCTCGGACGGACTTTGGACGCAATACGGACGCCATCGGCGTCCGTCGGTTCGCACCGCAGGTGACATAATGCGTACCTATCTGTCAACCGCGGATTGGGTACATCATTAGTGTTCTCACGAAGACGGCCAGATATATGAGTCGCGAACAAATAGAATATTCATTACTTTTGAATTTTGCTTTTATTTCAAATATTTTAAAAGACAAAATTATAAAAATTCATTGCATTTTTCTGTTTAAAACACACTGTAGATAGTATGGTTAAGATTTATGTCCCTGTCAATTATTTGATGGCATTATTTAACTATTGTGAAACATCTCACGTAACAATACTATACTAATTTAATCATAATTTGCAATATTTTGGTAATTATTATTATTCTCCTGTTCTTTTGTATACTAAATGCTATATACAATTATTCTCGCTAGCTGACAGAAGAGTTCAAACCAATTAGGGTTTTTTTTTAGTAAGTATTACCATTGGGTAAATAGATTCTTCGTCGTTCCTTAACTGTATTAATTTTAAGGTACTTACTGTATCAGTATATTATCCATAATTATAACTCAGACTCTAGCTATAATAAGGATGATGTTATTTGCCATTGTCGAACCATTTTTAGTTATTATTTAGCTATCAATAACATTGTTCCTAATTAATTTTATTGTTTTGTAATTTTTTTTCTTCAATTTTCTTTTCTAAATATTAATATACCTAAGGAACATTTGTTAATAATTTTAGTTTTCAGATATTAGGCAAGCTGCCTGTAATTTAAACATCAAATAAATAAATTAAGTAAATAAAATTCGATTTTTTTTAATCTCCGTTTTTTAAATATTGAATCGGTCACTCGAACAAATGTGCTTTTATATTTTCCAAAAATATATTCCAAAATAGTTTTTATTTATGATATTACTTTACAAGGACCGATTATCATGTGGAAAAAAAATCTCAACGAACCAATATTACTACCAGGATGATAATTAAAATTGTGTTTAATTAAAACGAGGTACAGGCATGAGAGCTTGCAGGTTAACGAAAAATAAATAATACGACTACTAACAACAAATATATAGCCATAAAGATATATAGGTACTAACCTATAGTTGTAAAACTAATAATCTTCCACCAAAACATTTTCATTACGCGCATAACATAATATAAGTTATCATCGCTGTGGTACATGTCTGTCGTACAAACGAACAGAGATTATTATTTTTTTAATTATTTTCGTGGTAAGTTTTTACTAAGCACGTACTCGTTCGTTTCAATATAATATCATGTTTGGAAATGTCGTTTGATACATGAACGCGTTATAAGTATTATACGACGTGCTCATTTTCGTGCTCTTGACAATAATAATGAGAAAAGTATACGATTTAAATTTTTGAGATTCTATCAACAAAAAGTAAAAAAAAAAAAAACATGACTTTTTACTATGATGTTTTAAATTACGATGTGCATAAATAACGCGACATATATACATAAAATTATAATATAAAACAACGATCTACTGTTATATTTCGGCAGAGTGGGAAATAATATTATGTTCAGTGAAAAAGATAACCTATATAATATTATCATCGTTCCTATAGTTACGCCGAGAAAAAAAGGAATCTAATTATATATGGGAAAAAAATACAAGTGCGAATTTGAAAATGGTACCTAACTTGAAGTGTACTTGGAAATGTTTGGATCGGGTCTCGGGAAATTTTTTTTTCCTATCAAAACGTCGTACGGTTTTCTATTGTCGGAAATTGCTCCGAGGGCCATTAACAACTACGGGTCGGATCGATTGGAGATTTTTTTCAAAACGTTTGGGCGTCCTCTTGTCGACGAAATCACTGCCATACCCGTCGCAGACGTCAGCCCCTCGTCCACAACCGAAACGCTTATTGTGACGGTGCTCGTGTGTTTACCCACCGGTGAATTTTGCGCTTTTCGAATTCGATTTCGACACTGCCAAGGAGAATACGCCTCGCAGTAATTATAATCATAATAATAATAATGATACGGAGCACCCGGTTGGGCGATCCGCGTCTTGAAATAAAGAACGCTGGATTTATTGGTAATCAGTGATCTCTATTGCTATATGAAATATATTTTAATTATAATAGGGATAGCGTAAAGCGTCGATTTGTGTCGACCAGACTTGATAAGTGGGTCGACACAATCGGGGGCGCTTGGTTTATGATCGGGCAAGTGCCGGATCCTATATTACAGAGTGATGAATAGTATTGATTGTTTATGTACAAAATTGAACGGGCCAGGGAATTGGCCGCCGTCGGTACAAGCTTGATTAAGCGGTACTCCGACAGTGAACCAAACTCGGGTCGAACAACTTGAGTAAGTGTCGAGGTATTGTGAGTGGTGGCCCTGAAAAGGGCCGTTTAATAATGTGACGTCGGAATCTGTGGAACGGCGTGTCGTATCGTCGCTGTTGCGTTGCCGATCGATGCTGGTCCGCGTCGTGGAACGGTAATGTGGTTGGTGCTCGGCGATTGGTTGATGTACACTGCCGTAGCGTGGTGCGTCGTCGATATGCCGCCGGCCGGTATGACTCTTCGCCGTGGAGCGGCGTGCCGTCGACGCGTAGTCGGTCCGTGAGACTATTCACCGTGGAGCGGTGGCGCAACTGGAATGCGGCGGTCTGCGGCCGTGGAGCGGCGCGTCGTCGATGCGTAGTCGGGTAATGCGACTATTCACCGTGGAGCGGTGGCGCTGCTGGTGTGTGGCGGTCTGCGGCCGTGGATGCGTATTCGGTTTGCGGTCTGGTCTGGTCCTTCTGTTCGTCTTGTTTCTGTTGATCAGGTACTTGTTGACGGTTTGAAGGTAATGAATAGACTGGCTAGATTGTCGAAAGTGTCCGGTATTTATACCCTCTTCGACAATCTAGCCCATCGCTCATTGGCCCGTGTTCTTCGTTATGACAGATGAAAAGCACACCGTTGTCTTGTTGTTTACCTTTGTTCGGTGTGGTTTTCGTCTGTCAAACCGTTCTTTTTTGTCTAATTATGTTTGTTGGTCTTGATAAAGACCGTTTTCGTTGTTGTGGTATGTTTGCTCCGTAACAATAACAATAATATATTTGTCTCGAAGTACGATAATGAGAAAGTGGGCACCCAAAATCACAGGCATGCCCCTTCGCAAACGTCAGCCCCTCGTCCACAACCGAAACGCGTATTATTGTGACGGTGCTCGTGTGTTTTTACCCACTGGTGAATTTTGAGCTTTTCGAATTCGATTTCGACACTGCCAAGGAGAAAGCTTCTCGCTGTAATCATTTGGTCGCGAAATACGATAACGCGAAAGTACGGTACGTCGTTATAATATTATTCATTTTCGCGGCAGTTTTCGGATTTTCTCCGTTTTATCAGACACCCGCAGCAGCATCATAGCCGATCGATAAGACAAACACCTCCGGTTATTACGACGACGAGGCTCGCGGTCTCCCGTTTTTTTAATATTATATTATTTGGGTACATTATTTTTAATATGCGTGTGGAAAATGTTAACTATAATAGAATATTGTAATAAGTAATGAGATAAATTATGCAAACGATATAATATTATTATCATTACGATCATCGCATCACTGCAGGTATGTTATTATAATAATTACGGCCTGGTGTGACCTGACATTAACGAAAATATTAGTGTGTCGCGTGTACTAAGATGATTAACTATGTCGTCGAGACGTAAAATATTATAATAACACGTTGCTTGTTATTGTTTATGCTGTGATCAAAGCGATTTAATTTTGATTTTTTCTCCACAAGCTATTATAATACATATTATGTTTTGCGGCGTTTTGCCGTTGCCCACGATAAACTATTGAAGTAGGCAAATAGGTACTATATCGACTTCATATTAAGAATGAAAAAAATCCATCAAGAATTCACTACATCGTCATACGATTTTTTTATTTGGAGTGATATTCTACACTCATATTCTTCACGCACACGATAATTATTATATTTTATACTCGTCCACTTTGCTGCCACCACAGTTAACATTCAAACTAATCAGCTTCGTTTGATTGACAACGTTTTCGTATTATATTAAATTTACTAGGTAACGGACAAAATGGCTCAATCGCACCGTAGTAGCAGCGAGGTACTCGATGCTGCTGTCAGTGTATATTATTATTATATCTATACCACAGAAGTAAACTAACGCAAGTCCATTTTTTGAAATTTTGAGTTAGTTATTTTTAAAGGTATTAAAACGTAAGTCCTATGTACAATAAATACATAGATCGCAAGAAGTGTACTAAACTATGATAAGAGTATAGGTTTCTATACTATGTCCAGCGTTTACATAAGAAAAGAATACATATATATAATAGAAAATAATATTTTGAAGTATACAATTGTAAGTCCATTGCAACAAATATTTTTGTTTTGTATCTCCTGTAAAATTTGCTTTTTGTGACCTGCGTTAGTTGACTTCTGTGGTACAGATACATGCGAACGAAACTTCCTAATAATCAAATAGGAAATTATTATCAACCACCAATCGACGGCCGAATCGATAAAATAGCTAATATTATATTGTATGGTATTATTATTCATAGTAGATTTAATGTTATATTATCGTTCTATGTCTCATAACTACGAATTCGTTTTTTAAGTTGTGTTTTTGTTTTTTCCTATACAAGTATTATGATGCCTAATAATGCATCACCCGACGCCAAACGCGTTGTTCGATATCCAATTAAGGGTGCTTTGTGATGAATAGTAAAAATATATGTCATTCGTCGTCCAACCGTAATATAACGATGTAGCAGGTGTATACATAATTTTTTTTTTCCTCCCCGTTAATTCGACACGCACAATCACGCGTTCTATGTGTGTTTTACCAGCCATCATATGTATGCCTCGCACGGGGGCCCGGTCGCGTTTTTAATTCGATAATAAAATATTTATTTGCACAAAGTGAATTACTGATGTGTTTGTTTCAGTTCACCGGATTCGGATGACACGTACTTCGGAGACGACTCCGAGGAGGGGCGCGACGATCAATACCTGGTTTCGGACAGGTGCGAGAGCAAATTCTATGGGTCTGTTCACGGGGGATCGACAGCCGGATCGACGGCCGCAGCAGGAGGGTTCAGCGCGGCCAGCGCCAACATCACTAGATCCATTAAGGTAGTAATAATAATATTATATTATATTTGCCGTGGCATGTGAGAGATAGGTATTATTTTGATACCATATTATTATTGGTGAGGATTATTTCCACGTGCCGCCGACGACGACCGACGCATCGTTACAAGTCACCACCTCCTGCAGACGGCATATCATATTATTATAACGAATGTTTTCATCGTATTTAATCAATCAGTATAATATTGTTCTAGAGGCGATACATATTTGCGGGTTGAAAAAAAAAAATTATGTTTAGGTCGGATCCCAATATTCGGTACCGACCAGATTTTAATTTATATTGAGAATCAATATATAGGGTTCAATATTTTGTGACGTTTCGTTGTTTGTTGTACTAGGATAGTATACAACCATAGGCGCAATTTGAGGGGGGCTTGGATGTGCTTAGCACCCCGAATTTTGAATTTAACACCCCCAAATTTGTTCATGTTAATTTACATTTTCAGCTGATTTCCATAATCATAAAATGACATGTAAAAAAATAGAGGGGCTTTAGCATCCTCAAATTTTTCATTAAATTTGCACCCCTGTATACAACGTGTCCGTATTATTATTTGTTCGTAGGATCGTAGGAAAGCCGAAAAAAATGTGGTAGATTAAATGACACTAGGCAATACGCAAATGCAATAATTGATCGTTCATTATTTTAATTTTATTTGACCCACTAGTGGCGCACGAGGGCAGGATACGACTAAGAGTAGGCACTTGTTAGTTATTTCCCACCTCTTCCTGTCACTATGCGCCTCTCGCGAGACAAATCTAAATTAAAATAATAATCGATAAATGATTGCATTGGCGTTACCCATCCATAGTGTTATTCAATCTATATAGTGCAGGTGTGTGTATAAATCTTCCATCCCGCGCCTTCTGACGTGAAAATTCAACGTTATTAATAGGACATCAACTATTATCATCATAATATTACTATTAATAAATGAAAATATATTAACACTTTCAAACCCGAGAACTTATAAATTGCAAAACTTTTCGAATACACCTGCAGGAGCACGACTACAGCCATAATAAATTATTAAGCACTAAACAGTAAACAGCGCATGTCTTACGTCAAAGCAGTCACGAGAACATATATAATATTATTTCTCGTAGTATATAATATTTATAGCTACGATGTTTCAAGGGAATTTTATTTTATAAAAAAAACCACAACCCGGTAATATTGTTGACACACGTGTTCGCTGACAATATTTCACCATAATAATAAATCGTTTATGTTATCGATACACCGCAACGCAGCCGTAGACGGCGAAGACTATCGGGAAAGCGTATCACATCGCTTTGAATTATGACACTTTATATTATGACAAAATGTCGGTTGTTGCGTCGTCGGTTGTTAAAACAATAATAACAATGATAAAGATCGTGAAACAAAATAAATGTTGATTTAAAAACATAATATCGCATTATAGTGGTGCCTTTCGATTAAAAACCAAACGGTGCCTGCAGGTGTGGTCGGTTTTCGGTCGACAATATAACAATATTATAGTCACACGCTCTATACGAATAAAAGTGTCCGACGTCATATTATATGACAATTGACAGCCGTTAATATCTTCGGACAAAGTGCCGAGTCGAGTTCCATCACCTAAACTCGCACGTCCTGTGCCCCGCGGAATCTGAGGACTTATCGTATATACTATGGTCAAGTCCCCGATTTTCCACGCCTACTGCGTTTAAGCGATAAAGTCCCACGTCGTATCTAATTATTTTTTCCACTCGAATTCAGCCGGAAAACATCAATTTTCCTCGGCGTTTTATAATGGGGTTGACACTTTTGAGGGGACGGATCAAGGTTTTAAAATTTTAGAATCTACAAAATAATTGGTATATATGAGTCGGTGTGGAATTTTCTCGTGCCTATTAAATATATTTAACATGGTAACGAAGTGGTAATACTGTAAATGTCACCTCATAGATAAGATAAATGTAGAGATGAGTGTAGTAATGATAAAGCTCCACTTGTCATATATTTTTAGTCCTAATATTTATACAGTAATTTAAGGCCGATGACCCGAACATTACTGTAAGGATGTGCGTTACTGTAAATGTGCTAGGGAAAAACGTTAACTACGGTAAATATAAGTATATAACATAAGCACAAACGTGTAATATTATGCAAATAATGAAATCCATTTAGCATCAGCACAATTAAGCAGCTTTTCATGTACCCCAAAAAGTATTTAGTTTTTTTAATTATTATATCATTAAAACAATATATATACAAGTGTAGAAGGTATATAATATAATATATTATGTAAATAAAACAAAATATTGGATCATATGTTCGATATTAATGAGAAATAAAAGATTATTTAAAATTATTACAAAGTGTATTAAGTGTTATAGACTTCTATCTTTGGATGTACCGGTTATTATTTTGTGTTAGGTACTATATAATTTCGTGATACAATTTTTACTCATCCATATCAGATGCTAACTAATATACTTCAATGTTATTCAAATTAAATGTGATATGAGTGTTATTTACTACACCATTTTTACCGCCCATAAACAACTGCGAACGAAGTTTATTCACAAACACCCGATGCAGCTGTAGTCTGTAACATGTGGCATGGTAATCCAAGCATGATACTCACCCCATCTCTCCCACACACACACACACACACACACACACACATTATTATATTATAATTATGCATCTATTCAAATTTTGATTTATAGAATTTTTAAATGCACCACCTAGTTAAGATCATAATTGAAAATAAATAGTTTTTTTATGTCATTTCAGGAGAGTCCTTTGGCACAGTTCCATTGTTTTTTCAAACTACAACAAGCCTTCTGCCTTCTTTACAGTAATTTTTTTTTCAAGCAGAATTTATTCTGATGATTTTATTTTAAAAATGTCCATGTATCTAAATTTAAAATTCAAACCAGTATAGTTTCTGTGTTATCAGACTTCGAACTAGATTTATTTGAATAAACGCATAATATTAAATAATATTCATGGGTGTGGGGGGAAGGGAAGTATCATGCTTGAAAAATCACTCTTCACAATATACACATGACAACGACTCTCCATAGAAATGCAATAGCGTTTCCGTTGCACGTGCAGTATTGTTAACACTATTTTGTCGTAGGACGGTGGGGGGGGGGGTGTGGCTCGTTTTGAACATGCACTATTAATCGTTAAAAATAATATAATTTATGGTTATAATATCGTGAATATTTAAAAAAAAAATTTTCACTGGGATCATCCCTCCACCCGTTTGACTGTCACTGTGCTCCCGTGATTATATTTTGTCTCTTTTTCCGGTGTTCCCGAAAACAGGCGGCCACGTACCTGTGCCCGGCCATATTCCCGTGGGTGGACATGGGACCGGCCACCGAGGAGAGCGGAATGGTGGTGCTCAAGCTGGTCGGCGTGTTCTACGTGCTCATCATCGTGTTCGACGTGCTCCTAGTGTTCGTGTCTTCCGAGTCGTCCACTTTTGTCTACATACTGCTGTACGCCCTGCTGATCGCCGTGATCGCCGTGCTGGGCGCCATATCCCGCAAACCCCAGAACAAGTGAGTGTCGTCTGCGAACGTATAACTACTATTGTTATTATTAGTTATATTAATATAATATGTTATTATTATTATTATTAGTTATCCGCACATCGATATTATTAAATTATTGTCAACATTTATCATTACAACCATTGGCATAACTATACTTTAAAGTTAGGGGGGGGGCTTCAGTCAATATCATCAAATCGAAGTAACAAATGGTGGGCATAAATTTTATTATGTAGGTGCCTATAGGCAATGTTAGGTATAATTAATTATTATTACAATTTTAAAATGTTTAACAATAAGTTAACAATATTGTTGTCCATTAAATCCTTATATCCACCTATAAATATCAAAATCATATACTTCTTGTGACTGAAAGTTATCCAAAGTTTTGGTATAAAAATGTATATAAGAATAATATCTAGGTATATTTATTTATATTCATTAATTGAACCCTAACCGAATTTTATTATACTTAACGTTTAAAACTTGTAATTTGAAGTTCTATTAATTTATTTTAAATTTACTTCCAACTATAGGTGTAAGTAATCTACTGTAAATAATGAGAATTATTATAATACAAATCACCATTAACTTTGAAAAATTTCTAGGCAATAATACAATCACCTATTTTATACAAAAATGTAATTTTTAGTCATTTTTTCTATGGCTAATAAATTTGGGAAACGATTTTTATTGGTAAACACTTAATTTATTAAAAATTCATAACCTAAATATTATTGTTCAGCTTTTAACTTCTGTAAATGGGCGGTCGGCTATGAGACAGCTCGAGGCGCCATAGGGTGCGTGTAGTGAAGCATACTTTATTGTATATAATAAAAATATCAATTCATAATAAATATGACACAATGAATAAAATATATATTATGAGCATTTATACAAGAATATTATAATGTCGCTTGAGAAGACGTCTCTTGTGGACAGCGTATTAACAATATTCCGATATTAATCGATAATCATAAATAATAACAATAATACCAAGTGATACAATTTATGGTCAGTGGTGACATCATCGGCGACGGGTGCAACGACGATGTCTGGATGTGGTGTCCTCCAATTACTGAAGATGTTGATAACCTCAGTTGAGACGGAACGACGGAACTGGACGATATCCATAAACTATGTGTCGCACGTATTTCTGATCCGTTTCGTGAAATTTATAGAAATTTAATCTGGTTCACGAAAAGGAACAAAATTTTTTTGCACATATCGTAATATTTTACAACATGAAAAACCGACATGTACTTACGCATCTTACCTATACAAACTGTATGCACCCACATAACGAGACAAATGATAAATAACGAAAAAAAATTGTCATAATAACTGAGATTTACTTATCCTAGGATAAGTATTTTAAACTGTCGTGTGAATATTAGCTGAAAGTTATATTATCTGTGATCGTCAAATTATTATAATATCGATAATATATTATTACCGACGGCAGGGGTGGAACGAAACACTGCAGTATATTTATATATATAACGGCGCGGCGGAGACGGTGCATAAAAAAATGATTAATTTTAATGGTTCGATAAAATTGAATGGCCACTAAATCGAGTTTGAGGTAAAATTGGCTGGCTATTGATTCATTAAATGTTTATAGTGATCGTTCGTGTGACCTGGAATAAGATATCTAGAAATATGGATATTGAGTATTAATTATGATCGATAGATGATGTTAGAAATTAAGAAATTAAGAAATTTGATAATAAATAGTGGTACCTAGTTTTTATTTATAGTTTATACTAACTAAATTTACAACTTTAAATTAACTTATTAATTTATCTCAATTAAATTAATTTATACATGACAAACTGCTATGACATTCTCAGTTCCACATTTAATACTAGCTTGGCAGACACGATTATTAGTCGTAAATTTAATTTTACAATTATACTTTTGAAACTCCTGTGGTCCAGATGATGATATTATCTAACTCCGTGTCCCCGTTGATTCCAGAAGAGTTGTATCAATTTTTACTTATAATACATGTAAACATAGGTGTGCTCACAGGACATGTCATAGTAAGTGTTGTAAAAAATACTTTTGAAAAGTATTTAAGTAATTACTCAAGTTCTCTTAAAATAAAGCATTTAAAATACTATCCGAATACTATATAGCTATATGTATTTGGATATCTCATACCGTCGTCGAAGATAAACGATAATGATAATGACTGTTAAAAATGTTCTTGGTAAATAGATACTACTGATAGTAGGTACTTATAATTACCTAGTAATAATATTTTCGTATACCTAATTAAATAATTATAAAGTATAATAGATAAGCAGAAGCTTATTGACTTAAGCTAATAGTGATACGGACTACATATGTATCTTTTCGATGTTCGTCGACAATAAACTGTCTCCTGGAGAAAAAAAACATTTAATCGACGCAAGCCAAATCGTCTGTAAGGCATAAATGATAAACATATAATATTATATTGTTATAATGTTAAAGCAAAACAATATTTTTATTTAAAAAGAATAATTATTAGCAGAAACAAATTAAGAAATTAAAGAATAAAAAAAAGTGTTCAATAAAATAGCATTCAATAGTGAAAAAAAGTATTTAAAATACCATTCAAATACTTCAAAATAAAAAGTATTTAAAAAAGTATCCAATATGGAAAAAAGTATTTGAATACTTTTACTCAAATACTTTACAACACTGGCTATAGTCATGGACCATGGTGGCATATAGTCAAGCCTAGACTCTAACTTATGGAAGGTTAAAATAGTACGAAATTGCATAGAAATAAAAACTAAAAACATTCAACTTACCATAATATATAACATAGCCTGACGCCGCCTATAATAGCTTAGACAATAATATTTTTAGAGAATTTCGATAATGCCTATTGTTATTTGGAGTTATCGCAACATCAGTTATTTATTTATAATAAACTACGGCAATGTTATGACAAACGATACATTTTAGTCGTTGGCTATAACAACTCGAGACATTTTAGACGTTTTCTATGAAATATGGTTATTTCCTTAATTACCATCATCGCCAGTAATATATTATATAACATACATAGATATGCCATAAAAGTAAAATTCAATTCGATATTCCAGACTGTAATTTGTTACGAAACTTTGAAACACGTGACTATATAATTTGATTTGATTAATTTGTTTTAATAAACTTGTTCCTAGAAATGCCCTAGTGCTTGAAATTTAAATTTCTAACCTAAATATTTCAGCCACGAGCCCCGTAAAGAACTGAGGGTTTCACTCCTTACAAATGCAATTTTATAATGGTACCGAAACCCTTTCTATAATATTAGCATGTCACGTGTGCAAATATTTCAAATCCACACGCCTCCCGTCACACTTTTTGATGTCGATAATGTATATTAGTAATTATATTTAACACGCATATGTGTGGGCATTACTAACGCTCAGGTAGGTATAGGTACATATCGTAATTGGATATATTATTTTGTATGGACGAAATTAAACTATTGGAAATAATTGATACAAATTCTGCAAACATCGAATCATTACCGTGTACGAAATTTTTTAGATATTATATTTCATAACGTTCATTATAATACGACTGCGGCCAAACAGATGATATAATAAATTGTACTTTTCGTTCGGAGGGCAAAAAAAACAAGAGAACATTATTTTTCTGAGGCTACTTCGTATTAATTTATGTCAGAACAAGACGTTTCCTGAAAGTTTGGCTCCGGTTTGAATACGATTTCTAAGTAAGTGTGCGGTTCGTCAAAGAGTAAGTGCAAGTTGCTTGTATATATATATATATATATATATATATGGTACTTTCATAACGTTTCTACAACATTGTTCGGTTTGACCTTAATAACAAATTGAATTCGATTCGCCTCGGCGAAATGGAAATATATTTTGATGCTTTTCACTCTTCGACGAGAGCTTGGGGACATCGTGACTTTCGACCGTCGTTCTTGACATCTAAATCGTTTCGAGTGAAATTATTTTTATTTACAATATTGCGGGTCGAAGCACATAGTTTGAAAAAGACAAAAGGAAAATTGTTTTGCCTGATATAATATTATCTAACATACTATAGAACACTTGATACATATATATAGGATGTATCGCCGTACGATACAATAATAAAATAACTACAATAACCGTAAATTGTACAACCAAATTGTCGGATTGCTCTACAAAAAAATAAATAAATAATATTCTACTAGACGACAGTGCGTTATTTCAGTTTTGCTCGATTTAAATAAAAAAAATATCTCAGAAAAAAGTTTATTCCTAAAATAATTAGCTTGCTAGTTAAAACGTGTCCTGGTCCTGTGTACCTCAATCATTCTCGGTATGTGCTATTAAACACATTTGTAAACGTAATTACCATATTGTCGTTATGCTTTCATGTTGCACATACAATCGTTATCATAGTTGTGCCAAAAAATAGTATTTCGTACCTCTACCCCTGTGTGAGAAAATACAAAATATCTGGTCATCGGTGTCCTATATATTATACCATACTGAACCACCGCAGTCCATTCGAATTAAAACCGTCACAAGCTCGCAGTACAAATTTCTCACGTTCAGACGATTTATTTATTTATTTATTTTTCCGTCACGTATTTCACTTTAATATCACGAGTAAAAATTTTGTTGTCGAAAATGGAGATTGCAATGTGGCTATAAAAATTTAATGTTCGCGGAGGGAATGTGATGTATATATTATTATATATATAGAAACAAAAAATCGAAAAGTAAGCCAAATAGTTAACCATGCTTTATTTATTAGTTTCGAGGGACGATTTTATACAAATTTTAATTAAAACCCACACGACCCAATTACTCGTTTTGTAAACATAAAGTATCTATAAATTAATAATGTATAATGTATTATAATATGAAACGTATTCGTACATTTCGCTTAATATATATCGTGTCGAACTAAAATTCAAGTTTATCGTGTTCCAAACGTAACTCGTACAAATCGGATTCTTAGTTATTAAAACATTATTGTTGCAATTCGTCGTCGAAATCTATACAATACGTTATCGAACTAAAAAAAAAATCACCGCTAAAATTCTAAGAAAAACAGGAGGGTTTTGTAGTGTCTTGGGATAACTCAGTGTCTAAAATATAATAACTGCAGACATCATTGCGATATAATATTAAACTGCTGCGTGTCTCGACAATATACATCTTTTTTTATTTGTTTACCACCTGGTACAAAACGGAGGTTGTAAAAATGTCAGGCTTGTAAAATATAATAAAATGGAATTCCACCGCTTCCGCCTACGCAGCATCATTGTGAACTTCGAGTAGATATAGGTACCGTTTCGTTCGTTTTTATTATATTCTCGCACTTGTCTCGTTATACTGTCGAAATTAAAAATACTTTGGCACCGATATCATTTTTTTTTCTACCCATAACAATAATGTGTAAAAAAAAAAAAATAAAAAACTTAAGCCAGTCGATGTTGATAATTAGTACAAAAACTTATCGTTTATAATATAATAATAATGAGACACACTATTAATATATATATATATATTTTTTTATGGAAAAACGTATTGTCATTAAATATCAATTTAACACAGGTGCGGAAAAATTAAAAAAACATGCATGGGATCGTGACACATGAATCGTCAAAATTGATTAAAAATTACGATTCGTTGCCGTGCAAAGTCTCAAGTCGTTTTAAAAACGATTTGGTTTAAATTTTTTATTAGATCGTAGCTGATTGCGAATATAAGCGTAATCAATGTAGGTACTATTATAGTATTCTATTCCGTATACTTTTATATGTATTCTATTCTCTAACAACTGTAAAAACGCATTACTCGGTTTGTGATAGTTATTATTCGAAAGCATTGGCACAGCTGTTTATATTTTGCACGTCCGGAGTATGCATTAAAACACGAACCTCATCATAATAATAATTATTCTTTATATTCTCAGACCAGCTTGTTAAGAGGTTTATATATCTTTTTTAAATGTCAAACATTTTGCAGACTAATTAATTCATTTTTTGTTTTTTAACGAATCATCAAAACTGTCTTAAAACAGTTTGTAGACATGCCGTAAAATAATTACGTTATTATAATAATGCTGTCATACATTCATATTTTTCTATGATGTATTAATAAAATAGTTCTATCGATGAACGCCGAAGATTAAAATGTTTTTAATTATATTTTATAATATGTTATAGAATTTTTTGATTTTAGTCACCTTTGAAATATCTTATGACGTACCAATAATTGTATTGTAGAATAATTAAGTACTTACTATTTAACAAAATTAACATTTTTTTTTGCGATTTTCTCATCTAGTTTTCGATTCATGCTGTATATGGAACTCGTGGGATATTACCATAAAAAGGGGTTTAAAAAGAACGACGCAGTCACAATAGACAGCTGAAATAAATAAATGTTTATCGCTCGTGAGAGGTCAAAATTATTTATATACCTTTTATTCTAATTTTACAGACAAATACTTGTGTTCAAAACACCGTGGGTTCCATTTGTACCGTCATTCTCCATTGCCGTCAATTTGTATTTGATATTTCAGCTGAGCTCGATGACTCTACTCCGGATCGTCGTATGGGTTTCAATTGGTATGTATATTACAATAATGGTATAACATTTTAGTATGTGAATAAAATTTCATAGTCTGAGGTATAAGACATTCATATAAATATATAATATTATGTTTCAAACGTAAAGTAAAATATCGTCAAATCTATGACTGAATATATTGATATATTATCATAAGACTCGTAATTATATTTCGTTTTTAACTTTAAAACAACTTTGTCAATTTCCCATTTTAGTTGAAACAGATATAATTTATTTTCGAAATAAGTAATAACAAAGTTTACTAAAGTTTATTCTTTATTCCGAGAAAATTTAATTCGTGCGCTTTTATTATTTACATATAATATACTCCGTTGTTTATTCAACAAATGTTTATCTCAGTCAATTTAATTGAATATTTTGTTATTCTTAAGTGGAGCTGTGATGTTGCGCAGAACAAGTAATCTATTAATTTTACTTTTGTTTTTGTAAGAGTAGTTGTAGTACCGAGTTGTGTCAATAAAATAAAATCACATTGATAGATATTTTTAAATGTCTGTAGTTGTGCAATACCTACAACTAAACTCTATGGGTTTTACATTTTCCAAAATGTAAGCTTAAAATTTATCTCCGTATATTATCTTTATTAAAAATTATCATTTATCACAAATAAGTTTTTCAAAAACGTTATAATTAATATTCAACGATGGAAAACATACGATTCTTCTTTTTAATTATCATTTAAATTGCTGAGAGAATGATTCTCTGATTATGATATAGATTTTTTTTCATTATTGGCAATTATTAGATTTTAAATATATTTTAAGGGAAAACTTGAATGGACATTTGTAAGAGAAAAAGACAATGTTTCGTTTGGTAGTTCCCAATCTTAGGAATAGTTATTTCAAAATACACTGTATTGATAAGACTGCAGGACACAGGTGTAGTTGAAAATTTCACTTGGACAGCTGGGAAACTTATACTATTGCATCAGAGTTGGTCCATAGGTTTTCTACAAACGTTTAGATTTGTGTCTCCAATAACTAAATATTATATGTTTTCTTTTTCACTCCTACAGACAGTTGACAATCATTTATATTTTATTTAAATAAAATTTACAAGTACCTATGTTTTCAACACAATCATCTTAGAATATTATTTAAACACTTTTGAAAAGAAAATTTATAGCCATCAGTATTGTTTAATAATTGTTTACTTTCGACACTTAAAATGTAACCAAATTCCATTATTAATAAACAATCTTGATTTAAAAAGTTTAAAATTAGGTCATTATATAACGGAAGTACTAAATACATTTGTATGATCAGATATATCTGATATTTCCTTTGGTGAAATCTATAGAAGAATTATCCAAAAGGTCGGAGCACAGCAGTTATAAAACGTAAATGGTTTGCTATTATTTATATCTACAAACAACTTTTGCGGATGTTGCTCGGACATTCGGACCTATAGCCCATGAAATTCGGATGCAACTTTGACCCATAGATGACAATCACCACGGTTACAATTCGGCTGTAGGCGATACCCGTATTGTTTTTTTTCGGACGAGGCATTTCTGTACGAGTATAGAATATTATAGTTGTACACTCGTACAATTAAATTGGTAAAACAAATTCAACATATAGAAGAACTAACAATCATTAACTTCATTTCAACGAGCAATGAATAAACTTTTAGACGGTACAATAAATATAAATAAATCAATGATGCCTGATGTAGTAAAACGGAATTTCTAATAAATTACTAAATAATCACGAACCACAATGGCGGTTAAATGATAATTATATTCAATTTCAAGTATTTACAATAGCTATTATAAATGCAAATTATCTAATATAAATATAGGTACGTGATTGCACTACTCCATTATATACATCGACCCCTGATATACTTACAGTTTCATAAAGCTTACAATTTTATAAGTACAATCTTAAAATAAGCTGCGATATAACTGCTCGCATACGTCATTATAATGCAACTCAAATATATCTAGATGGATATAAAAGATAACTTAACTCATATTTATCTAGATAAAGATAAATCCTTTTTTAGCTAGATAAAAAAAGATACAATTTTTTTTTTTTAATGGGTTTTAAATTTAGGTATATTTTAGTTGGGCACTAGGAACATAATAATAATTATAATGATATAAATAAAAATAATACATTATTTATAAACCATAAACTTGGTTTGAGAATCTGTTTAAATATTTAAAATGCGTTTGTACAATTTCGCTATTTTTATCAATAAAAAATGTATCTAGATGAATTTATTTAGATTAGTAAAAAAATTATCTAATATTTATCTAGATAAGTCCGAACACTGCCTATATATCATAACTAGTTGGTCCTGCGCACTTCGTGGAACGTAAAAATGACAACCCTTAAAAAAAAATTGTGATTGTTCAACTCCTTTTGGGTGTAACTCGCTGCAGCCTCACCTTGGTAGGCAATGTGAAAAAATTCGATTCGATGAATACTTGTACCTGATCTGTCCGATTAACCAATAGTAACCAATAATAAATAAATACTATTTCTATTAATTATTTCTCCTATAACCAATAGCAAACATTTATAAACGGACATTTCCACCGTAATCCCCTGTTTGAGCACTTCCCCGGGCTTCTATTAATTTGTTGTATCGCGATGTTACATAGCCTATAGCCTTCCTCGATGGCTGTCCAACAAATAAATAATTTTTCAATTCGAACCAGTAGTTCCTGAGATTCGCGCTTTCAAACAAGCAAACAAACAAACAAACTCTACAGCTTTATATACCTATTAGTATAGCTGATATTGAAATTCCGTGTCGTTGTTCCAGGTCTATTCGTCTACTTCTATTACGGGATAAAGCACAGCACGTTGGAACCGCGGGTGGACGAGGACGAGAGAATTGAACTGAAAATGAAATCGCAGACGATGACAAAACCGCAAAACAATCGACCACCGGCTCCGGCCAAGACTTCCGCTAACACCAACACCACCTCCACCGCCAACACCGCCAACACCACCACTACTACCACCGCCACTGCAGCCTCCACCAGAGTAGCCTCATCCGCCACCACTGCATCAGTGGTCGACGAGAATAAGACCGAACCGAAGAGGCCGACCAACCTGGAACCGTTACCCGCCAACAACGACAGTAATTTGTTTGTGTCACCGTCCGCGTTCCCGAAGTGGGAAGACTAGATTGACTGACCAAAAATTTAAAAAAATTTAATTAAAAAAAAAAATGTACGTTTTGTCGACTCGACACCGAGACTTCAACTACGTTCTGTGTAAATAGGGATGTAAAAAAAAAATTTAAAAACATATAAAACTACTTATAAACTTATAATTATATTATTACGGTAACAAAATCAATTCTTTGGGCTACCAAAATGACTACAATACACTATAATATTATGTTGATTATGACACGTGTATTACCCGTGATGTTTTTGATATATTACATCTATTACCTAGCTATTATTATTATTATATAAATTTATATTATATTATATATTTTAACTGTTGAACGTAACAAGGATTAAAAAATTGTCCCACATTAACGGACGAATTGGATCGAAAAGGTTTAAAACGAGGAGCCATTCCCATCTGCACATCGTCGGGTCTCGGGGCTCGTTTATTGGTATATAATATGCATTTCGATAAACGATTCAATACGCCGTTATTTTACCCTTTTTTTTTTTTGGAATTCACGCCCCCAATCCTCCTCTCTCCCCCCGGAGACTAACGTTAATTTAACTTCATCATAATATATCGACACGTCCTCATATTATGATTTCCCATCGTATCGTCGGTTCGTTTCAGTATATATTATGTATGCGCAAAACCTACCCCTTCTCAGTCGTCGTTCTTCGATTTTTCCCAATAATATTATTATCGTCTCGAAAGTATCACTAGTATTTAATAATATATAGAACGAAATATTCGTCCACCCCCCCAAGAGAGTGTGCGCATTAGTGAAATTCGAAATTCCGACACGACAAATGACTGAAAACGACGCAATATCATAAGGGTGAAACGGTTTCTCTTGTTTTTTACGGTCACCCAAACGCATTCGCGACGTGACTCGACTACAACACGAGCCGGTGATCTGTGGTCGATATCGATTTTCGTATAAGTTCGCTAGCCATCGTTGGCTATCGATACTTGCAAATTGCAATAATATTACCCTAACTTACTACGATTGACTTTGATAATATATAATGTTATATTATACGCGTAGGTATCATAGTATCTATTTCGTTTTGACTCACAACATAATAATGTCATTTTTTTTCTTTTCCGATTTCCAAATCGTTTCAACAAGTAGTAGCCATACGGACTGTAAGATAATATATGATCCGTGGTAGTAACTATGTTTGTCTGACTCTGTCTGCAGATTTATGTGGAAATCATTCTACAACACTATAAACACGTACAACGATATAATATTGTCCCCCTGCATGATACTATATTATAATTGCTGTGGCCAAACTATATATATACCTACACGACCACCCCCGACAAATCAATAGTACGTATTATAATATTTTTCATCACGTTTAAAATATGAAACCACTGACGATTCGAATTCGTTTGACAATGGTCGTCGTTTGACGAGGGATTTCCATCTATACGCACTCGAACGAGAAGTAGGCAGACATGTCTATATAATATGCTCAATAGAGTGTGTGTGTGTGTGTGTGTGTGTGTGTGTGTGTGTGTGTGTATGGTTATCGATTAAAACGCAAAAAGCTTTTATGTTGTTTATTTTTAATTGCTAGACGTACTGCACAGCTCATATTTTATATCGGGCACTGACGTCCGGTTACGTTCGTTCGCTTCCCTACGATATTCAGACGTGTTATTTCATTGGAAGGCTGCCGATTTTGTCCGAAAAATAAACCCTCCTCCCCTTGGCCCACATCGAACGCAATACGGTAATGCAGGCGGATTTATTATGACGTATAATTCCCTCGAAATCGTTTGCGAAAACAGTCGGCGATTTCTCTCCCGTAGGCCGGACATAGTATTATAATATTAAATTAACAAATTATTATATTATTATATTTATATAACAAAATAAATATATATATATATTATATATAATAATGTATACATTTTTATCATATTATTATTATATGTTTACCAAACAATATTAATTGTTTGTTTTTAATTGTTGTGGCAAGACTGGTTTAATCGAATTGTAACGTAAAATAATTTGAAATGTTTTAAATTTGTTAAATAATTATTATTATGTTTATACACTTGATTGAATACAATATTATAGAAGCCCCCTTTTCTCGGCGGTCGTCAGCTGCGATACATAATAGTCGGAAATTATTAAGAAATAACCGTGTCGCGTCTGCACAAAGATAAAACAGTACGTGCCCATTGTACAGTAATTATCGGAAAATTATAAGAGCAAGACGACCAGGAAGTCCAAGTAAATTTTCCGGTAGGTCGACCACCAAGACCACACCCTTTGGTTTGAGTCGCCATAAGAATCCAAGTTTCACCTCGTCGTTTGCTGGCGACCGAATTATATACATTAAAGCCCCAACGTAGACTAAACATAATTTAAGTGGTTTTTTCCTATTAGTAAGTGAACAGCTAATTTGTATTTTTCAATTTTCATTAATTTATATAATATTATATTTACTTCATAGATTCTTAGTGATATATTATACATATATTATTATGTAGAGCGTGTTTGAGTACTATTCCTAGAATGTTAGTATATATTATTATACGCTTTCGAAATGACGGACTTTGTCGCTCGCCAAAGTTAAAACCTTCATCCAAACTTAATTTTATTATTACGAAACAGTAAAAAGGATATTGTATAGGCTGTATATGTATATAATATTATACGAGTACCTATAGATTGTATGATCGATTTATATTGTAACGGAAATGATTGCAATTTTTTTTCTTAAATTGTTTTACGTGCCTTAACTATACACAACAAAATAATATTAAAATATTGAAAGATAATGTTTATTGGACAAAAAAAAAAAAAAAAACGTTAATACTTTTTCGGAAATTTTGTTTCCACTTGGAAATTATTATTCTTAAATTAATTTTTGACTTTTTTTTTTACTAAATTGAAACATTGAAACATTGCACAAAAAAATACAATATTATAAATGTATAAACAAAGTAGGTGTGGAATTCAGGATTTCCTATAATACGGGTCAATATCGCAGTGCCATTACTCTGATGCCAATTTTACGATTATACGTACATTTTGTTCGGTTACCATTATTATAATTTATTATTATTATTACATTATTACTATTATTATTATTAGCATTATGACTATTATTATTATTATTATTACTATCATTATAATTATCATTCCTAAGTATACCAAAGTTTAAATAATTTTACTGAACAAATACTAAAAATGGAGGTAAAAAAATGTCCTGGAACCGGTTCAATATGATATTAGTTTACCGTTCGAAATCCTCAAAAAAAAGGCGCTCAGTACGGAGAGTCGTTTTTGAAAGTCAAACAATTGTTGTAAAATATCAAAACTTCATCGTAGTAGGAGAATAATACATAGACTGTAGTTAGAAGCAAACGAAATAAGCAAAACAATCAAGCAAACTATTATCCATATAGTACCTAATTTTGTGAGACGACATTTTCGAGAATAACACACAAATTTCATTGGGTTGTCCTTAAGGCGAGTGAATATAGCTGTTTCAACAGACATTTGACTGAAACGATTTCACTGAGGTGCAAGATACACCAGACAGTAGATAAACAGTTCTTACATTCTCAGGTTAAAGGCCAAGAACCCCAAAAAGTATGTCACCGAGACTTTGGTGTCCCTTTTATTATGATAGCGTTACAGAGGTACCTATTTTTTTAGGGAGCAGGCCCTAAAAAAATGAGCAAAAGTTTTTATTTTTTCAAAAATTTTGGATTTGAATAGATTTTTAAAATTATATTCACTCGTTGAAGGTGGACGAGAAGGTTTCGATTGCTTTACAGTTGTTTAAAATACAATTGATATCCGTACCAAATAAACGATAAGTTTCCGTTTCAGTCTTTTCGCCATTAAGTCTCGTGCCAGTACCGAAAATATAACTAAACAAAAAAAAAAAAAAAATTGTGTTAACAATATTTTTGTTATTCCTGAGTTTTGTTGATGTTTTCTTTTCATTTCGTGCACCATTATAAATATTTTAGTCGTACGAAAAATACATTTCATTGGATATTGGGTGGCCGATATTGTAACCGAAAACCAATCCATTTTGCTGCACCATTTAACCGTAGTCTATAAATGAAATTTTCGACATAAATTCTTCTTTCAAAACACATAATATTCGAATGATGATAATTAATAATATTACGAAAATATTTTACACCATCAAATTTTACAAGCAGTTCGTTGGGATTTCGAAAAAAAAATTTTCAAAAAATTTATTTTAAATTATTGTCCATATTTTTGTTTTTGAGTTGTCTACGAAGCCCACCGCAAGTGTGTAAATTAATTTGTTTCATTGTTATACTTTTTTTAAAGTGAAATTTGCATCCAAAAATTTAATAAAATGCAGACCTGATTACGTAATTAATATATTCATAACTACCGTAAAATTTATTTCTCAGTTTCTTCGAAATAAAAAAAAAAAATGATTTAACACTAATGCGTTTTATATAGATAATATTTATATTATATAGATTAATGGTTACCTATAACCTCAAGTATTATTATCATTATCATCCTTCACGTCTTTATATATTGTATCTACATATAATATTATATATATATTATGTACAAGCATTGAATGTTGTTTAAAAAAAAAAACAATTGTTATTATACACTTTATATAAATAAAAAATAAATATATATATATAATATTATATAAAATAGTTGTAAACTTTTAAACTGTTTATCTTTGATTTGTTTTTCTAATATTATTATTATTATTATTATTATTACGTCTTCTATCAGACTTTTGAACATGTTACCTAATAATCGTTATTAATTATTATAAATAATAAAGAAATCTAAGAAACAAATGTATTTATTTATTTTCATTTATTCAATTTAATTTCATATGCATATTAATACTGGGCCCCAATGAGGAAACTCGTGTGGAAGCATAGGAGTTCTAAAACAAATTGTATAAAAAATAACACTTCAATTTTGTATACGTGATTGAAATTAAATTATTTTACATGAATTA